TTCGTTATAGTTTTCAATATTTTATATTTATTAAAATAGTGCTTGCTAAAGCTATCGAAGATCCATCAATGTTAATTCAACCACAACAACATAAAATCTCAACAGCAATACATGATTCACTATCCATTGGATCAACACTTAAAAATAATATTGTAGAAAAAATACCTACAATTAATACACAGGTAAAATATTCAATATAAATTCTCTGTAGAAAAATAACAACATATTCTTTTTCATAGACGGCTTCATTCATCAATATGATTTCAAGTGCAGTTAAAACAAAATCTATTGAAGTTAAAGAGAAAGTTAAAGATTATATAAATTATACATCATTAACTGATTCATCTCATTCAATACCTAAGTAATTTTTATTATATTTAATTATTATTGATTTTAATTTTTATTCATTAGACATGTAAGTAAACAAGATAAAGTCAGTAATCTTTATCGACAAAATCAACCATCAGTTTTTTCACTCGATGAAGAAGAAGATGATGATGGTAAGAAAATATTGCTTTTGTTTTTCTTTTACAATCTTTATTTTCTCTTATTTAGAAACAACATCATCTTTTCGACACCATGAAACATCTGAACTTGTTGATATTGAATCATGGTTTCTACGTAGTGATCTATTACATAAGTATGAATGTGAACATTTCGATGAAAATGATACAACATATCCAAGGTAATAACGAACGAAATGAAATTATTTATTTTTGTTTGTTTTTTTGTTTTAGTCTTTTATTAGTATCATCAACACATTTATATATATTACGAAAATTACCTGAACATAAAACAATGGCTAATCTTGTTTCACGTCGTCCATTAAATACAATATCAAAAATAACAAGTAAAAAAAATTTTCCTGAAATCATTACATTTCGTTATGCATCAAATCAAGTCGAAGATGAAGAAGAAGAAAAATCTACAAAATCGAATATAAAAAATGCTAAAGCAAAAATTCCAATTGATTGTGATAAAGTTTATTTACCAGATGCAGGTGATGCTATAAAAAATATCAAAATATTAATTATGAAAGAATTAAATATGTTTGAAATCTCGAATGAAAATTGATTAACTTAAATCTTTTTTTATTCTCTTAATGGTATTTCTTTTTTGCTTTTCTTGTCATTACGAATAGAAAATAACGAAAAAATTATTTACTTTTTAAAGCTAAAATATATATGTATTTAGTTGTTTTTTTTTGTTTTACTATTTGCAATATATTTTAATTTACAACTATTTTATTCTGGTTGGGTTAAGATATAACATCAATAAATCAATATATTTATTTTTATCATTTTTGTATTTGTTCATTGATTTGACATGCAAAATATAAATCAATGAGGAAATCATTTTATATCTTAATTTTTTTGTTCTATATTTCTCTATTGGGATTTGAGATAATGGAAATTAGAATTATGAACAATTCAGAGTAATGTAATCATAGTTTTTTTTTCCAGGAAGGCGTATATTCACTACATGTATTATTATTCTATTATAGCTAGTGTAATCTTTTTCTCATGTTTATGAACTATAGAATTTGATAAAAAAGAAAAAATTCACAGCTCTTATTCATTTATAAAATATCATTCTTTACAAGTTTTAGTTTAATAGAATATGTATTGTTTATACTATCTGAAAATTTCTAGGAAAAAAGTATTACTATGTACCCTGTTAATAGTCGATAAATGGCGAACGATCTCGTCTCAAGCAAGAAGAAACGAAACATATCAATATAATTCATTTTATTTAAAAATAATAGCCGATAATAGTATACTTCAAATTAGGAAGAGAAATGCTTTTATTGAAGTTTTCCCATATCACCATATATATTTCTAATAGTTTAGGTGTTATAATTTGTCTTCTAGGGTATTTTTCGTTGCTATTAGATTGATTTTAAATAGTAATATTTGTATTCATTTTAAGAGATTAAACAACTATTACTCGATTCAAAATAAAAGGTGCATTGTTATTTTTTGAATACCTTTCGATAGGAACAAGCTAGAGACCTGCGATTTTTGCCGTTCGAAAGAGTGATGTCCGGGCTATCGATCTGTATAAAATTCATTGAGACGAAAGATGTTTTTGGGATTGACACTTTTTTTCTTTGCGTATTATTACAATAATCTCAACTCAAATTATATCGAAATGTAGCTCAAATCACCCTTTTTTTTGGTATACAATTATCACATATTTTATTATCCCTCAACCTCTTATTCCAACCGGAGTTCCAAAAAGAGTATGATAATTTTATAGCAAAAAAAAAGAGTGATTTGAGCTACGTTTCGATATAATTTGCGTTGAGATGATTGTGAAAATACGAAAAGAAAAAAGTATCAATCCAAAAGCATCTTTCATCTTAATGAATTCTATACAGATCGATAGCTCGAACATTACTCTTCCGAACGGTAAAAATTGCCGGTTTCTATCTTGTTCTTATCAAAAATTATTCAAAAAATGACAACTTGCCTTATATTTTGACTCAAGTAATAGAATAAATGATTAAAATCGTGTTTGATTGGAAGTGTAACCCAATCGACTAAGCCGCCACCGAGATATAAAAATAGATATTTAATTTTTAAAAATTTCCGACGTCTTAAATCAGTTTTTCAGAGCTGTTACCCTCTGATTTCTTATCAATAAATTCTGTAACATTGTTTCCTGCCTTATTCATTTCAAAAATTCATTGAAAAACTTCGCCAATCAATGCATCGTTTACACCTCTACATATAGTACGTGGATGATGCCAAATGGTGTAGTGCTTTTAACTTTGATCTTTAAAATATGATTTTTTCACTTCTGAGAGTGCATATCCAACTGTCGGACGTTGTTTGACCTCATACTATGGCTATGAGTAGGACTAAGTGGAATTAAGAAACCTCTAAAATGGATGAAATCCATGCATTATAACTGTTTCTCGAGGCCAATTATTCATTGGAAGCTCAGTTAAAAGATTTTCATCTGAAATTTCGACCATGAATAAGTCTCACAGTCACTAGAATATCCTAAAAGTTTCAGCTAAAATGAATGTATTTTTCTTGAAATATCCAGTATCTAAGATAACTTGATTCTATGGCTTTCCTTGATATAACTAACCAGGGAAGTATTCGAAGTGATTAACTGCTTTTGAGCCCATACTTTGGGTACATAGCGAGGACCTCTAGGCTAGAATAAAACCTAAAAGAATTCGGGCCCATGGCCCTTATGAACTGAAATATTGAATTTTCAAGTTTCAGCAGATAAGAAGTATTTTGACCCACTTTTGCAATTATCTTGAAAACAAAAATATGCTGTTAACTAGAAATTTCATGATAAACTGGTTGCATCATCAGCAAATTATTGTAAATTTTCCAGATTTTATCTCATTTATATTAGCCACAGTATTTTTTTTCTATTATATCAACCATCATCATAGAGGTAGTGGTTCACGAATGAGGCGAGCTCACGTTTGTCGTCCATTTGCTTCATCGAAATCTCTTCTAATCTCGAATTATTGATCTGGTCAAAGAGACTCAAAGATATACTCCGCTGTCCAAGGATGTAAGAGACTAGAAATACCAGCTCACACTACGTCACGTATTCAATCACTTAACGTCTATTTCAACAGACAATGGAAGCTGTTCGCTCAGCGTATATTCGACAACATTCAACTGAACGATACCGTCATTAACTTATCTGAACGAAACAATATAATACAGTCGAATTCTCTCTTATTCACAATCAGTTGTTCTCGCCTCAATTTGTACCTAAGATCAAGTATGCATAGTTCGTGTCAGGATATATCGACCAGCATCCAGAAGATGTTGAGTCTGTCAACGAAGTTTGCTTCGACATTGATGATGATATTTGCCAATAGTCGAACTATCGCTTATTATGCTTTATTCAATACAGTCATTGCCGCAAGCTACTTTGCTTTGAACATTTCTCTGAAGCTTATCACTATCATAATTAGGTGTTTGCTGTCGTTCAATGTGAGGGTGTCATTTTTTTAAAAAGTGATATCTATAAAACTTTATTTTGTTCGGTCTCGGAATTTCCAAGAGAACGGATGTGGCTTATAGAAATGTAATAAAATCTGGAAATTTCACAGTAATTTGCTGATGATGTAACCAGTTTGTGATGGAATTTCTAGTTAACAGTATATTATTGTTTTCAAGATAATTGCAATAGAGAATCAAAATCCTTCTTATTTGCTAGAACTTGAAAATTCAATATATATCAGCTCATAAAGACCATACGCTCGAAATCTTTTAGTTTTATTCTAGTTTAGAGATCCTCTCCATGTACCCAAAGCATGGGTTCAAAAGCAGTTAATTACTTTTGCTATTTCTCTCATAAGCATTGGTTAAATACCCAATATCCCAAGAAGAATACATTCGTTTGAGCTGTGATTGTTCAATATATTCTAGTGACCATAAGGCCTATCTATGAGCAAAGTTTCAAATACACATCTCCTAACTGAGCTTTCCATGAATGATTGACCTAGAGACCAAAAATCTTTTAAAACTGTCATAACTCTGACTGAATAATGCATAAGCACGAACCCATTTAGAGCTTCCTTAGAGTCCTACTCAGTCTATTAAAAACTCTCCAAATTTAACAAGAAGTCAAAGATCTTCTCTATTCCACTCACTATGTTTGCTACATATGAATATATATATCTGATTTCAATAGGTATTCTATAGAAATTTTCATTCAATTTTATATTTTTAAAAAGAATCATGTTCTTTCTATCAAACATCATTGCACAAGAAAAAAAAACCGAAAAGAAAAAAAAAGAGTTAAATTCGTCTAATAGCATTCAAACAATACAACAACAATATTTATACAAAAGAGAGAAGAATAAAGAAGTTAATAGTATTCGATAAATCACCACAATTATGAGTCTCTCTACAGAATACAATGAAATAACCTTTTCCATATTTCTTCATTCATATATAAAAACACAAAATTTAATCGACTAGAAAGAAAAAAAGAAATTGTTGTTTTAATCATGACTAGTCGTTTGTAACAGGTATCGATGATATTGTTGTACTTGAAACAACTTCCATCCATCTAATTAAAAAAAAATTATCACACAAAAAAAAACAAAAAAGAATTTTACTTACCGATCAAAAGCATATTGACTTTCAGCACGAAAAAAGTAAACATGATTTTTAAATTGAAGTTTAAATACAAAATCTTTATTAACACCATCTGTTTCCGATGGTAATGAACTACGATAACCAAGCAACGGTAAAGATGCTAATGGAAAATCATCCTTAAAGTATAAACAAGAAATAAAAAAAAAAACAAAAAATAATAAACTTTTTTTTTTTACTTGATAAGTTTTATAAAAGAATAAACAAAAATTTGTAAAAACAACCCATAATTTTTGCCAACCATTTGAATTTTTAAATTTACGTAATAAATAACCACTTAATTGATTTTTAATTGATTGTCGATGATCATTCATTGATACAGATAAATTTCTATGCCAACATACATGCATTGTTGTATTAGCACGATGTTGAATACATGAACGTTCTATTTGATGTAATTTTTCTTCTTCAATTGTTCCTACATTTGAATGATCAAGATTTTCAGATGATGCTTCAAAAAAAGAAAAAGAAAATGAATATATTGAAATAAAAGAAACATTTTTTATGATAATTTGAAGTACCATTCGATTTTAATGTAGATGTATATTGAGTTTTATGTTCATCACTACTGGTTTTGATATTTTCAATAGCTGATTTCAAATCATTCAACCATTTATTCTTTTCAGATTCCGAACTAGAATAAATAATCAATAATTTATTTATTTATGCAAAAAATGTACATTTAAGATATCAATCATAATAATTTAATCGAACGATAATTTCTTAGATTCATATGAATTTTCAAAATCTGATGTTTTCTATTTTAATTATATACTTTCAAGACACAGTGAAAAACATTATAATTAGAGAATCAATTAATGTTGATCACTACAATAGCTAATTTTTTGTTAGATGCACTACAGTGAACGATGATTTTCCTTAGATTAGAAACATCAGCATCTATTGAACGGTGTCTTGGAAACCTTTCTGTACAAGTTATGCCACTCAACAGTCTTCATATGTAGGGAAGAAAGAAAAATAACTTTGCTTTTGAGATATCCTGTGATATGAGATGCTGCTTAACAGCATATGTAATAACCCGACATCTTCTCTACAACTATAAAAATTATCGTAAAAGTACAGCATCTCCGTAGCAATAATCTAAGTGTACGAACTCTTTTCAAGTTATTCAAAGCTCATTTGGATCTATATAATGTACATAGTCTCGATCCAAAAAGCAATTGAACATTTAGAGAACTTTCCTTAGTCAGCCATAGTAGAATTACTCTATGTATACAAAACATATTCATATTTAAGAAATTTGATGTAAACGTTTGTTATGTATATTGCCGGTCGCTATGTTGACGTTCATTGAAAAGTTTTGATTTTAAGCCTTCGGATTCATCGCGTGAAAGAAAAACGGTTTAAATTTAAAGATATCTTTTGAGTTTCTTCCTTTATGATATATGCTTGAAAATGTCTCTTATTAATCAAGAAAATAGAATCGATTTTTTTAAAAATCTATTTCAAAAAAATTAAAAATTTTATTTTATGCTTGACAATTATATGGAAGAGATAAGTATAAAATAAGAATTCCTGTCTATATTCAAGCATGAAAACTCATCAAATATGAAATAGTCGATAACCTATGCAAAAAATTCAATAAACAAAAACTAATTCTACAAACATATTGTCTTTTTGAATGCAATGTATATTTTTTGAGTAAAAAAGAAAAATGAAAATAAACTAAAATGTTTGAACACAACAATATTAACGAAAATGAAACAAGCGATAATAATTCCACCATCTCATTAAGGAAGGTACTCAAGAACTTTTAAGTTTAGCACCATTTTTATTCTATTTATTTATAAATATTCAGGAAATGAAATGTTCATAGAACAAGCTCAAAGAATATTATACATACCTCGCTGCTACAAGTAATGTTCGAGTACCCGTATGTATTGTAATAGAATTAGGAATTTTAACACGTTCATCACTATCTTCAACCTAGAAAATTAAAAATTAAAATGATTATAGAATTATGTACAAAAAAAAAAAATAAATAAATTTCAATACTAACTGTCATTAATTTTAATGGAAGTTCACCGTGTAATTTAAATTGAAGTATTGGACTCGAACTACGAGCACAATAAAGTAAAACATCAGAGAACTAAACAAAAATTTTAAAAAAAAAAGAGTCATATAGAAGAATTAAAATAAAAATAAAGCTTTTTTTCTTTTGTTTTACCAGAAAAAACATTCGTTGTTGATAACCCTTTCGTGATAATTTTTGTAAACAACCTTCACGTATAAATTGCTAAAACAAAAAAAAGAAATTCGAATTCGAATATTTAAATTTTAATAATAATTTACTCGGTCATGTTGAATTGAAAGATTATCTACACCAATTAAATCACGTTGAAGTTCAATTAATTTTTGTCGATTTTGCTAAATAAATTAATTGAAAATATTTCAATAAATCAATTCAAACTATCATACCAATAATGTTAATAATTCAGTAAAATTTTCAATATGATCTTGAATTTTAATATAAATTCCATAACAATCTTGATAATCAATTTCATGATTATTGTGTTTATAATGTATAAGTAATTCTAAAAAAGAAAAGCTCTCTGTATAATCCCGTAGGGATTAATATAAAAAAACCAATGTAGCTGCTTTTGCTAATAATGCAAAGATTGTTTTATTCTATCTATTTTAAGATACATTTCTTCATCATCTTTTTACTTGATCCTCCTTTACAAATACAATAAGTAGTTTATATATTATAACGAGACGTTATTTTTATACGTCTGTGATGTAGGAAGGAGAGTATTTGATAGTCTCTGATTAGCATCTGTCACGGTTAGAATCCATCGGATCCAAAATTTTCGCATCCGGTCCATACTTGGAAACGGTCGAGTTATGTTTTAATCGAACCAGACTGATCGGTTTACATTTATCATTGAACCGGTAACCAGCGGTAGGGAACTGCGAGTCCAAACCTGAGGTTTTCTCCATCAATATCTGACATCCTTCGTGTACATGAACAAGCAAAGGATCAAGGTTTTAACTATTTATTCGCTACTCTCAGAAAAAAATTCAACGTACAGTTATATCTTACTGCTGTATTTCTCATCTGAGAAGCAGCGGATCCACAAAGACGTGTAACCGGACCCGACATAAAATAAAAGTTTGGATCCGGACGCGAAAAAAATAAAATTATGGACCCGGACCTCACAAAAAAATAAAAATTTCGACCCGACTGGATCCAGATCTGGAAAGATCCGCCGATCCAGTTCCAAGTATGATCCAGTTAATGAAAATTTTCAGACTGGGACCTGACGGGCTCTAGTCATGGTCTGTGTAGGAATCCAAATTTTTACCCCTATACTTCAACACTGCTTTTTACGGTCGTGTTTCACAAAATAAATTAATTTGAAATTAAAAAAACCAATCAAACATACTTTCTAGTAAATATTCATAATGTAAAAGTCGTTGTAATGGTTTAAGTAAAAATGATATAAATGATAAATAACAAAATTTTTGTGATTCGAATTCTTTGTACATTAAATCAAAACGTCGATTACGTTTAAGTACATGTTCAAGTTCACTTAATAAATGATCATAATTTTCTACATAATTTTCATATCTCTATTTAAAAAAATTTTCAATAGATAATAAAAACATGTTTTTCTATATAGAATTATTCTTACTGGTAAAATTTCAACTAAATTCACAATAAGATCACCGATATGTTGATTAATTGTTTCTCCAGTTAAACAATCATTACCTGGTATAGAACGATTTTCCCTTTAAAAAAAAAAAGAAAAAAAAATTATTTTTTTTGTTTTTTATTTAAAATAATGTTTTTTCCTTACCAAAGTGATATTCGTTGTTCAAGTTGTCGAAGAAAATGAATATGAAAATTATAAATAGGTACTAAATGTGTAAATAATATATCAGCTAAATTAATTAATGAATCTTTTTCTAAATAATATTGTTGTTGTTTTTGTTGTTGTTCTTCTTCTTCTTCTTCTTCAATATATATTTCATTTTGTTCATTAATAATTAACATTAATTCACGACGAAAATTATCAGCAATAACTTCAATATCTTTTTTATATGTTCGTTCAGTCATTAATAATTCTTTACAAATAAAAAATGCTCGATCATGTGCAGATGATATTATCATTGTTGATGAAACTGATGTTGGAAAATGCGTTTGTGTCAATGGTGGTGGTGGTGGTGGTGGTACAGTTCCAATTAATCGCTAAATGATTTAATCGAAAAAAGAAATTAAAAAAAAACAAAGAAAAAGAAAAATAATCATACAGGTATGCCGGTCATTGGTTGAGTCATTTGATAAGATGTCGATGGATATATTCTGGACGCTAAATTTACATCAAGAACATTCAATTAGATTATCTATAAATTTATAATCTCGAGACGTCTGATAATCTATTAAGATTGTATACTTTATCACCGAAATGCAAATTACCAAATTTCGCTGAAGAGCATACTGACTGTATCGATTAAAATTCTTTTAGACGTTTATATTATGAACAATTTAGATTCTGAAAGTAGCTGATTTCAATTATGCCTGCGGGTGAATAAAAACTTTAGTCATAGATTTAAATCTTGATTACTAAAAGATGTCGGGTCCGAACTTGATAAAATTTAATGGATGGATTTTTAACTCTTGTCTTTGATATATAAATTATTGTATACTGATTTGATTTTTTTTTTGTAATCTCTAAATTATACATACGTGATTGTTGATATGCAGTTGTCGTTCTTGATTCAATTTTATTCAAAGTTGTCGTTGGTGAACGATATTCATGAATAATTGGGATTGTTCGAGTCTAATGAAGGTGAAAAGAAACCTTATGATATTTTTTTTGTCCTTGAAATTCAAGAAGATTTTACCGTATTCTCATCAATATTCGTTTCGTCAATCGGATTAATGAATGTTTTTAAAACAGAAGAAGCCGGTAACATACTTTCACCAATTGAAGACCTTAAGAAAAAGAAAGTTAATCAATATGCATGTAGATATTATATATATAATCCAAAATGTATGAATTATTAATTATCTTAGTCTTGTTACTAATTACCTTTTGCTTGAGCTATTAATATCAGCATTATCATTATTTATAATTGAAGGTTGTTTAGTAAGACTTAATCTTTGTGCTACTGAAATTAATTGTTGATCAGTAGTTGATGATTTTCTTGGTGGTGTACTATTTATTATAGGTGGTACAGGTCGATGATTATTAACAAATCCGGTGATTTCACGACGATATTGTTGTTGTCCTTTTGATATTGAATCTCCTGTAATTAAGAATAAAATTTATTCTTGTTTTTAACATGAATATTGTCGTTTTGTATTCTTCTTTTTTTTTTATTTTGTTTTTCATCAATTCTGATCTAATTAATTATCTATGAAAATTTCTATATTTATTTTCTGAATCGCATTTATTTCGTCTTGTTTTTCATGCCATGTTAATTAAGAAAGAGATTTAGTACGATACAAAACTTCTTCACATACGCATACAAATGTTAGTTTAAGCGAAACAACAAACAAAAACTAAAAATATTATTATTATTTAGCGTACAAATACAATTTAGGGGACATCAGCTACACATACGGATATATATATATATGTGTGTATGGACAAACAAACAGAAAGCGCATACTGTCTACAAAGATAATAATAAGTCGCCGGGTTTGTGTATGTTTTTTTTTTCAAAAGAAAGAGTGAACCGAATCATAATATAAGGAAATCTATTTCTACCATCTAATTCGTTCATCTGCAATTGTTTTTTCCAAGTCAATAAAGGAAAAATATATAGATATATATATATATATATCCCTGATCGTGTAAATAAAAAATAGAATTTCATGAGCAAGAAAAAAACACTCATTCTCAATTACTCAAAATAGAGAGAGAGAGAAGAAAAAAAAATAATCCATTTTCTTATCCACTATTAGAATAGAAGCAATAGCGAAGATCTGTACAAATTCAATTAAATAGATATACATATAAGTATAACAATATAATGACTAGATAGAAGGGAAGGAGAGAGAAAAAACAATAATACGAAAGATTCTTATAACAGAAATATAAAAAAAACAACCCTATTCACTTGTTATGATGATTACGTTGAACAAAAACAGAACGATAACCGGCTGCTTTATTTAAATGATTTGAAAGTGAATCATCACTTGATGAATTAAGATCTTCAGTTGAACGTCGTTTTTGTTGTTGTTGTTGTTGTTGTTGTTGAAGACGACGTTGTGAACGTATTGGTGGAGGAAAGGAAGTATTAGGATTAGATATTGTTGTCGGCATAATACAAGTTTTTAAACTAGTACTTATAGATGCTGTTGGATTTGAATCTGAATCATCACTTAAATCAAGAAGACGTGCTGATAATGGACGTTGATAACGTTTTAAATGACTATCAAGTACAGGTGGACATGGTACATGCATTGATGATGCATAGGATGAAACAGATGAAGCACGAGATGAATGTGTTGATGATGATGATGATATAACATTAGGAACAGATGTAGAAAGAGGAAGAAGTGGAGGAAGTGAAATAGATGATTGTGAAGGAATTACATCATTAGAAATAATATTGAAAAATTTTAGTTTAGCTTCTGAAAATGTTGAAAAATCTGATCGATTTAATTCATGTAAATTATTTCCACTTGGAAAAGCAGCAAAACATGTTTGTGCAGCCAATTTACGACTTATATCAGTCCAATCAGTTGTTGTTGCAATTACTGGACTTGATTTTGTACGTAAACGAGATGCTAGATTATTAGCATCATTATCATTATCATGATTTTTATCAGTTTTTACTGTTTTTAGTATGCACGATTTATGATGAGGTATATGAGAAGATCCAGCAAATATTTGTGCACGACACTCCATAAGATATAGACTCAATGCGCGTGAACATGCTTGTTCAACAAGACGATCGGCCGTAGCGATTAGTTGTCTTTCTTCTTCAACAATTTGTGTAAGAATAGATTCAATTACTTGTCGAACTAATTCTATTGAATCTTCGGAAGATTCTTTTTCATACAATGAAATAATTTGATCATTGGCGATTGTATCATCTTGCCATGATAGATTGTTTATTGATGGTAATATACGTTTATCAATATATTCAATATAATTTGTCATACGTGGTAATGAATGAGGTTTTGAACGTATTTCTAAAACTAATGATGGTGATATATTTTCTATTGGTAATTGATTATTATAATCATTAATAATATTTGAACCAATTAAACGTTCAATATTTGGTGGTTCTAATAATGATGATGATGATGAACTTGATGGCGAATGTGTTAAATCTATTGATAATGTACGTTCGATATGTAATGAATGTGAACGTTGTTGTTGTTTTGAACGTTTTAATAATAATTTTTGTTGTTCATCATCTTTAATATCATTTTTTAAATTATTTACGTTTGGTGTAATAGATATTGAATGTGAACCACTAGTTGCATGTCGTGTATTTAAATACATTTTTAATGATGATGAATAACGTTTAACATTTTCAAATTCATCTGATTGATTTTTTATTTTTTTATTTTTACTATTTTTTTTATTATCATTATGATAAATTTCTAAGCTTACTCGATTTTCTTTTTTATGATTCGATTCACTAGAACCTTCAACTTCTTCTTCCTCTTTTTTATTATCATGAATATCTTTATATAAAATATTTTCTATACCCGGCGACTTACTTTTATCTAATTCATCAAATTCAATATCATGTTTGGAATTTCTTGTTTGTTCAATTTCAATTATTTCTTTATCATGTGGAATCATTGTTGATGAACCATTTATTGGTTTTTGTGTTTGTTCTTGAGTTTGATTTTGAATATTTTGTTCTTCTTCATGATCTTCATCTTCATCTGTACTTTCACCACCTGATAAATCATATTTATCACGACTAAACCTTGAATCTAATGTTCGACTACCATGCGTTGATGAATCATCATGATAAACTTGTTGATAAATATCATTGGGAGTTGTTGAAATTGTTATGTCTGTAGTTCCCGTTGCTGTTGTCGGTTGATTATTTGTTGCAGTTGTTGTTGTTATTGGAATTCCAATTTGACGCGTATGTTGACGAGCTGAATCAACAGATGATAGATTTGTGTCTTGACTACGCATTGTATCGGATGTTTTAAGGCCGGTACCAGGTGAACGAAGTGTACGATTAGTTGTTGGTGCAACTGTTCGAGTATTTGAATAAGATCTGAGAAAAATTAAAAAAAAAAAACAAATATTTGAGGGAAAAAAATTCTTTGTTTTTTTTACCGAACAAATGTTCGATTTTTCATATAATGTTCACGTGCATGTTCAACAATTTCTTTTTGCGTTCGACCATGATATCGAAATGATGAACCACGTGTTAATAATTTACTTCTTGAACGTTGTGTTCGTTTTATCGTAACACAACGAAAAAAAGCATGATATTCAATACATTTTTTCCAAAAATTTTTACATTCATCACGTGTATCAAAATAAAATTCAACTGTATCTTTATAATAACCCTTAAAATATGCAAAACAAAAAAAAAAACAATTTTTTTTTTTTTAATGTTTTATGAAATTAAAATCTTACATAGCCTTCTGGTTGTAATTTAATTAAAAATTTTTTACGTTTAAAACTTAATTTACGAATTTTAGCCCATGAAAATGTATTAATTTTCGTTATATTTTGAAAGACAAGTATTCCCATATGTGCAACTGATAAATTAAGATTGACTTGTTCATGATCTTTAGCCGGATGCATTCTTATACCATATAATTCAACTTTTCGAGCAATATCAAGTAAATTAAGATCGGCATCAACCGGAAGTTGACCACTTCGAAGGAAAAAAAAAACACAAAATATTTAATTCAAATAATAAATATATAATATTGATTATATATAAACTTACACATGATTTTTATGAAAATTCATTATACGAACTTCATGTTCAGATGTTTGATGTGGAAAAAATTTTCGACCACCTAAATAACTTGGATTATTATTATATGATTCAAGATAATCACCAATTTCCGCTAGAATAAAAATCAAATGATAAAAAAACAAAAAATAAAATAAAAAAAAAAAATCTTTATCAACCTTGAACAATATATGATGCAAGTAAAGCAGCAGTATTATCACTACATAGTAGTGTACCAGCATTAAGATCACGTTTTATTTGTAATGCAAAAAGATACCTAAAAAAAAAAAGAATATAAAAAATATCAATATTGAATTTTGGAATATCCAATTATCAATGTCGAAGACATATGTTTAATTATTCTAATTCAAGCTTTTGCTCGGAAATAAAGTGAATAAATACTATACTAGCCTCAAGCTAGATGTGGATAGAATAACAGAAAAAAAAATGCATATAGATAACATATTTATCTAAAGAATTCTACCTAGTAAATTCTTCTTCCAATTGACCAGGATCGGGTGTATAAAATTTAACACAAAATGAAAATTTCGTTTCAGTAACTTGTTTAAGTACAGGTTTATCCATTTCAAGCCAACACTAAACAAAAAAAAAAAAGAAAACAATGAAATAAATTTTCTAATTTCTTCTTATCAAATACATACAGTATTTCGACGACTATCAAGATATTCAAGTGCAAAATAATCAGTTTCAAGTAAATCAATATAGCTACAAACTGTAGTAAATAAATCTTGTCCAGTTGCTTTCGGCTACAAAAAAAAAAAAAAAAAAGGAAAAAAGATCAACAATATTTATAATGAAACTTTTGCGTCATTCAATCAAACATATGAATATAATAAATACAGATGTAACTTATTTCTCATCATCGTAATAAAGATGATGATAAACGCATGTGTGTACATACGCAAAAGTTCTCAAACTTGACAATCTTACAAACAGAAATAAAAAGATGTCTATATTGACTTTTACTATTTTGACAAATACATCATATAATTATTTATTATGATTAATAATATTTGACATAGAAGTCAAATATTTCAATGATATTGATCTTAATACTTACATCAATATGAAATGGTAATTCTTGATCATCTAGCATGCGAACTTTACATGATATTTGTTTGCTAGTTTTGCCTTTTGTCATTGTTGAACTCATTGAAAAGGTTTTCTTCTTTTCTTACTAATCTTGCTGCGTTTGTTATTTTTATAATTAATAAAAGGTTTCTTTGACTTTTTCCGTTTGTTTATATTTGCAGCTGTTAATAATGTCTAAGTCCGTATTTATCGTGGACGGATAACATATGGACAAGAAGAAAGACAACAGCTGAATTTATTCGTTGTCATCATTTAAAAATAAAATACGTGATTATGAAAGTCGTTGTTGATGTATCATCATTATTATTATCATTTTATCTAAAAGAAACATTCTATACATACATATATATATATATAAACCCAAACTATCTATCTATCGTAAATGTTCATGATTGGTATGAGAAAAGTCACGGTCGGCATGTGGTCTCATCGTTTGTTTTAATAACAAGCTACTTTTTTTTCTGCTAATAACATCTCTACTATCTTCGCTGTCGAAACTTGATTATTGTTGATAGTAATGGTGAAAGTAAAGAATATAAACTAGATAAATGCATGCAATTTTATGTATCTCTCTCAATCTCTAGATATACATATATAAGAAGATGAAGATGCGAACAAGCTGATTGACTGCGAAAAGAGCAGATAAAAAAACAAGACAATTGATCGATTAAATAAACGATTAATGGTGCAATAGCAGCATCGGACGTGGATTTTTTTTTCTCTCTCTCTCTCTCTGTATCTCATTTCTCTTTGATACTGACCGATTTTTTTTTGTGTCACTCACTATCATTTCTACCATTTTCCATTAAATTGTCTATATCTCTTTTTTTTTGCATTACGACAATAATGACGACTGACAATCCATCATCTTTTTTCTGGCGGCGATGCAGCTCGGCTATCGTCTCTTCCTTCTCGCTTGTTTCTTGTCGTTCTCTCACTCTTTTTTTTTTTTCTTAGCCTCTGTTACTCAAATAGTAATAGAAAAGTCAGCCATCGTAATGCATTCTATAGAAAGACAATTGCTCAACATACCAATTCTTCTTTTCTTTATGGGTCTTCGTCGATTCGTTCTCTCTCTCTTTTTTTTTTCTTCTTCTTTTTTTGGCTCCGACGTTGATGATGATGATCTGTGTATATGTTGGATGTCTAAGCGCAGTCTCATCATCAAGCAATTTTTTTCTTTCTCTCCCTTGCAGACATACACACGCACAGTGGGTAGTGGTAGTTGTAGCACAAAGACGAAGATATTGTGCATGTCCTTCTAATCGGTTTCTTTTCATTCTTTCGCTTATTTATTCTGGTCAGGCTACTATAAACACTTGGAATAGAATGTTGACGCTGTGCTGTTTGTAACGCATTTCATCGAATTCTCACATGAAAAAGACATATATACAAAACAAAAGAATATGTCGCTTTATAAATCCTAGATAGTAGATCGAGTAGAATAGAACTTACTCATTTCATTAGAAATAAATTACGAGGCGGTTCGATTCGGTAAAAAGAATAAAAAAAAGGAAATGAAGCGGATGTCTATTGGACTCGTTTATATATAGATTTTATATACACCTCTTCAGTTTTCTAACTTATTATGTTATATTTTTCTCATCAGAATGAACAACAATGTATGTGCGTGTATGCAAATACGATATGAACAATGATGATTGAAAAGAAAACAAAATAGAATTATGATTTTTGATGCCGACTGATCGAGTATTTGAATAGAAAATTACATAGGGCATCTTCCTATCTTTGTTTCCCTTGTTTTATTCCCACGATACATACAACTCTTTTCATTTCTGTTATGAAAAAAAAAAGAAAAAAAAATCCTGCATACACACACACATTGTAATACTTTTGATCTAGTTGATTCTTTTCTTTTGCTATTATTTTTAGAGCATAGCTCAATCAAATGTCAATATTTTATAAGAGATCGAAACTAGTTTATCTTCTTTTTAAAACATGTTCATTTCCTTTTTCTCGCATCCACTTATGTTCATGTTCTATTGATTGATGTTGGCTGTTGCTAGCTATTCACGATCAAACGTATGAGAATACTGAAGCAAATGCAATACGTCGTCCTTATGCTCCACAGCAGACGACGCGACAACATATATATATATATATATATATATATTCGCTCAGCATGGTAGATGTGTTGCTCTAATTCGATTAATTATTCATTCCAAATACGTTTTCACCCTATCTTTTTCTCTCTACAATCACTGCTTCGTTTCATTTCTTTTTTTTTCTTCAGCTAGATAAAATATTATTAAGTTATGGAAGATGTTTGTTTTTTCTCAAAATTAAGATCACAGAAACCAAAAAAAAAATATTCTTCTCTTACCAAATAAATATTCGTCATAATAAACAAATCTGAGAAAAAAAATGCTAAATCGGCTTTCTTTCATATTGTCACAAAGGATATAATGCTCAACTGGATAGTTATTGAACAAGAATGAGATGTCAAATACTTCGAATCAAAAGAAAAAAAAGAGAACAACTATGTAAACAAACAGTAACGCACACACATAGTATGTATGTAAGAAGAATAAAAACGATAAATACTTCTCAATGGTTTGACTACCAACCAATGATAATCTTGACCTACAGGGTACATCTGATTGGTTGAATATATTTAGATAAAAAAAAAACAAGTAGTAAACAAGCAATACATATTTATTTGAGTTTTGGTTTTGTAAGATCATGTCGAACTTACCGACAACATTTTTGACACATTCACAACGTGTCTGTCGATTATACAAAGCATTATTTGTATATGCTCGTCGACAACATTGGCCTGATAAGTTAATATAATAAAATAGTTGTTGTTGTTTTTTTTGTAAAGTTTTTTCAAAAATATTTCATTATAGACTTGCATATCGTCAACGTATGGTAGAATATCGAGCACGTTTTGATACAAATAAAAATGTACAAGATTTAATGAAAGCAAAACGATTATTAATTGCAGGTGAAGAAGAACTTAAAAAAGCTATGCATTGGCATACAGATAATTTCAATTGTAAGAATCTGATTTATATATAAATGAACTTTAAATAGAAAAGAAAAAATAAAACATCTTTTATTTTAAGTTCCTGAATCACCTTATGGTATTGCTGAAAGTCGATATCCAACACCTGATGATGCTGTAAGTGGAGAAGAAATCTTTATATAATTGCGTTTGGTTTGTTTTTTTTTTTTTGAATTTAAGGCACTCGATGGATGGCATCCATTAGAAAAAGCTCAGTATCCAACGTATTTTGCAACACGTGAAAAACGAAAGAAAGCTTATATGGAATGGTATCTGAAACGATATGGTGTTCCAGATCCACCTATGATGTGAACATTAATTTCCCATCTAGTTTTTTTCTTTCCCTTGGATTGTAAAGTAGAGTATTTGTTTTTTTTTCTTATAACACTTATTTACCATTATATTTGTGCATACATACACAAAAAACATTGTTCTTTTGATTTTTTTTTCTTGTTTTCATTATATTTATTTTCTTCGGGTTATTGATTATTCATGGTATGAGATTTGAGAATAGTGTCTATTCATAGGCGTTATATATCATGCCATTTATTTGACTATGTCGATTAATCATCTCAGACGAAGTGATTTAATTTTCTATAGAAGTAGTAAAAAAACAAATAGGATAAGTTTTTGATATTTATCGTGGAAATATATCGTTCGATTTAGAGGAAAATTTTTATTCGATTCATTTTATTATTTACTTCTATATTTAAAGTAATGGATTAATTTTTAAGAATGACTTTCATATCAAATAAATACGTTTTAACATAATTCAATATCTCGTGAGTTTCTATCTTATTAGTCTTATGTAATAGTTTCGCATTGAATCTTGTTAATATGTGACTAGGAGATTTTATTTACAAAAGTAACTTCATCTTAACATCGATCACATTAATAAAAAATACATACCATATAGATAAATTATAGAATTTTAATGTCTAGAATACAACAAATAGATTGTTTAAAACATATTAAAGTTTGATTTGACACTGATCCGGATATACGCTTCAATATGAATAGTATGCACCATAGAAATTTCTTTTTTTGTCTTCGGAATTAATTCTTTATTAACATGACATCAAGAAATGATTAAATTCTTCAAAACAATACAACATCTCGCATGTTATGATCTTATTATTCTATGTCATGTGTATACAAATGTTTTTTACAACAAGGAAATTTATTATTTTATTAGAAACGATCAAGATTTGATCTCTATAATGCAGAACACTCAAGATTAATAGAAAGAAAGAAAGAAAATAGCCTATTATGTAAATTATAAAGTAGTAAACTCGTCTATGTTATTATGAGAAAAAGAACCTTGAACAAGAATATATTGAAAAATTCATAGAATCATTAAAAATTGAATACCCTACAGACGTCAATGGAATCATAGATTTTTCCGAGAAAATAGAAAGTCTTACATGGTAATAATGACTGTCAGACTAAGCTAATTAAACAAATATATCATACTAGTTTTTTTGACGAAATATTCTACGATAAATATTTTTGTTCAAAATAAATCTACTAAACTATTCAACATATTAGAATCTTTTTAACCTTAAAAATCTCATCAATGTTCGGATATTTTGTTTAAAAAAATTTTTGCATATGTTGAGATATATTAAAATTAGAGGTACTGAATTTTTAAATGTAATTTCAATTTGTTTGAATACTTTCTTGTTAAGAACTTTGTTCAAAAATTCTTTTTTTTTTTGTCATATTATGTAAAATAATCGTGTAGTTAAATACATTCGCAGAAAAAGAAACAGAAGAGGAAAACCATGACTTCCTTTGTTTCAAGTATAATTGAAAGTATAGGTCGAGAATGAGAAGAAACTCATTTGTCACATATAAAATTACTATTATTAACTTGTAAAATGTTTTCAATAAAAGATTATACTGAATATTACACAAGTCTTGAGATACAAGAAAATTAGTTTATATGCAGATAGAAAATAAATTCTAACCGAATGTTTTTATATCAGTCTTGAGTATTTATATCAATCTTTTAAATAACAAATGATTGAATA